ACGGCCGCCGCTGCCCGCGCGCCGCTGCTCCGCCTCGCGCTCCGCTCCGCTCCGGCTGCTCCGGGCCGAGGCGCGGCGGGGCGGTGAAGACCCATGTGGGCCGCGCCCGCGAGCATCGTAGAGGTGAGCCACGCCGGGCATCCCGCGTGCCGGTCCCTGTTGCCCGTGGGCAGCTGCATTGCGTTATGGGGGGAGCCGAGGGGCAAGCCTCCGCCTCCACCCGGGCGCTCTCGGCGGGGAAAGGGATGGGGCGGCCTAAGGGCGGATTTGCCTGGATGTCTAAACCTCGGGATCGGAACAAGTGCACGCTCTCCGCGGACGCTCGGCCCGGGCCCCCTCCCGCAGCCCTGCCGGGGTGCCACCCTCTTTGCCATCGCCTGGCTGTTCTGCAGACCTTCCCCCCTTGTCTGGCTCTCTTGCCTGGAGAGGTGGGGTGCACGCGGGGGCAGGGGTCTCGCGCAAGCCCAAGCTGAACAAAGTGGAGAACCGAGGAGCCCCAGCCCAGGGTCTTGGGTGCCTGGCTGTCTGAGTGGGCTCCGTGGGGCTCAGGTTGGGAAAAAAAAAAATCCATGTCAGGAAAAATGAAGCGGATTTACTGGGGAGGGGGAGGTGGTGGTGTAGGAAAAGGAACCTGACGTGAAATTAAACAGCATCCCTACCTTCCTTCTCCCCATCCCTAATTATACAAGGAGCACTGACGAGGGGGTAACCTTTTTTTTTTTTTTTAAATTTCTTTTAAAAATATTACTGTCCGAGGCTTTAAAAGACCATTTTAGGACAGTGAAGATTAAGGGCTGCTTTGGTGCGGGATAATAAAATAGCGCTCGTAAACTCTCTCTGTTCGGCCCTCCCTTATTTATTTTGTACTTAGGGGGTCCCTCTCCTTGTCGCCAGAGGGAGGGTCCGCTCTGTTAGGAGAAGATAGATTTTAGGCGGCTGTCTTATGCTGGATGAAAGACAATTTACTCCAGGAGCGGTGAATTGTCAGTTCCCCCTGTGATTGACAGTCACACCTGCCACTTATGTGGGTGGAACGGGGACCGGTGGAACCCCAAGGGCCAATCAATGCTCGAGAGAGGAGGGCTGCTCCCCCTTGTCGGGGTTAGTTTCCTGGTTGGCTCTTTAAATCAGTGGTTTTACTTAACCATTGGTTTCCACCAGGTAGGAGCTCCAGCTGGGAGAAACGGAGAAGCGGGAAGAAAACTACTCGAAAAAGGGCTTGGAAGCAAGTATGTTCGACCTGTGTTCTCCTGCCTCCCCTGCTTGTCAGTAGTTGTAGTTGGGGATGCTGAAGCTATTGACTTGAAAATAAAACGAATCTGTATGAAGAATGAAACTGGGTTGGGGTGTGGGTACTTAGAATTGCCCACCCTTCCCCCAGAACCGCAGTCTTCTTTATAAGAGATACCATTTACTGTGGAGCCATCTGGGAGAAGGGTGTGGCACTTGGTCTCCCATGGTCACTCCTGTCCTTGTAAAGTCACTTCGCTCTTAAACCAGAGATTTGGTGGGTTTATAAGATCTTTTGAAGCAGGGAAATGTGCTTTACTAGGATTAAGAGGGTTCACTTAGTTTTGACAGCGTAACTCAACTTACGGAAATCAGGGCTGCCTGGTTCTCTTTTGCAGGGTGGAGGGGTGGAGGTGTGTGTGTGTGTGTGTGTGTGTGTGTGTGTGTGTGTGTAAAGGACTTTCATGTGAGCCATGAAGCTGGCTTGCTTCTCTGCTCTCTAGTAAGAGCCCTTCCAGGGAGGGGGATGGATACTAAGATTTTCTCGGATGAATGAGTCCAGGATGAAGGACCAGGTACTTCTTAACCTTCTGCTAGTGAAAGGCTGATTTTCCAGCACCTTTCTCCTTGAATTCATTAAAAAATTACTAGTTGGATCCAGAGAGCTGTCACCTTATGGAAGCTGTACCTGATGTGAACATAATGCGGTGAATTCAGCAGGTTATGAACAGATTGTGAACAGGAACATAGTCATTAGCAGGTAGAAGCCAGGTTTGTCAAGAGGTATTACTATTACTGTTGTCATTATTGTTATCATGCATATATAGATACTTAACTGAGTACCTGAATCACCTAATTTTAAACTTTGCAGAGCCCATATGAGGTAGGTGCTGTTTTTACCCCCAAAGTACAGTTGTGGAGACTAATGGGAATTAAATACCTTGCCACATTGTACTGTAACAGTAAGAACTTGAATCTACTTTTTTGTCTGATCTAGGGCTCTGTGACCTTGCCATGGCCTTGAATTCATATCTTGATTGTGTGGTCTGCACAGGTCCAGCTTGAAACATGGGCTAGCCCAGTATTACTAGAGTTAATCCTGTGAAGACTCCACTATGACATTGATGGTCCTTGTACCCGCCCACTTTGCCTGTCCATGTGAAGGTTTTTTTCTTCTGCCAGTAGGGAATTTTAACTTTGTGTATTGTCTATTTCTAGTGGAGAATTTTTGGCCCAGTAGTTCTAAACTTAATGATGACTTAAAAGAAGGCTAAAAAAAATCCATACTCTTTTATTTTTCTTGTTAAGTTGAATTTCCAAATTAAGTAGGTTTTGGTTGAGTAAATGCTTTTAACATCAGTCAGTTGGTTTCCTACACCCTGAGGGATTAGAGTTTCATTTTTCTCTCAGTCGCAAAGAGATCCCTTTTCATTAGTGATTAAATATACTTACATTTTAAACTAGTCTATTAAAATACTACAGTTCTCTTTTTTATTATGTTGAAAAAGTCACAGGCTTTTTTATTATATTGAAAAAGTCACAAGCTCCCCAAGTCTCATCCTGTTGGTGAAGCTCAGTGGTAGAGGTTCACCAAAAGTGAAAAGCAAGTGAGGTTAATAGTACTGGCCACAGATTCACCTCAGTGGAGTCTGTGACTCTGTGTGGGATGGTTCCGTGCAATCTTCACTTTCGCCTGTTTTGCTAGAATACCTGTTAGCTTTTAAAAAACCAGCTAATATATTATCACTGGCCATCACCTGGGGAACCTCTTGCCAGCTGTCAGCTCAGTCTCAGCAATATTTAGTCTATTCCTTGACATTGTTTTGCAAGTTTTCCTATTTTAGAAGATGCAGGACAAACAAAATTGAAAAGCACAGATACTAATGATAATGTGCATTTTAAAATTTCTTTATTTTTAGGATTTATTTCTGTTTTATGTGTGTGCTTTATCTGATGTATGTAACTGTACTATGTGTGTGCTCTGCCCACAGAAGACAGCGGAGGGCATTGGATCACCTGGAACTGGATCATAGAGTTGTTAGCTGCCATGGTGGTGCTGGAAACCAAACTCTGGTCCTCTGCAAGAACAACAAATGCTCTTAATCACTGAACCATCACTCCAGCCCCAAGGTTTGTGATTTAAAACAGTTGATCTGGGGCTTGAGAGCTGGCTCAGTGGTTAAGAGCACTATCTGCTCTTGCTGAGGACCCTGGTTCAGCTCCCAGCACCCACATGTTTGCTAATAATGGTCTGTAACTCCAGTTCTAGGTGATCTGAAACCCTCTTCTGGCCTCTGTGGGCATTGCACGGCAAGGGTGTACTAACATAAATGCAGGTAAAACACTCATACACATAAAATAACAATAAACAACAACAACAACAAAACCAAGAAAACAGTTGATCCAAAGATAGACATTACTGAGTGTACCAAGATGAGAATTTTTCAGCCTGTTCTTTGTGAGATGAAGAAAAGGGACTAAAAGAAAAGAACATGTAAGAAATGCCCAAATATATCAGATGATAACGGCCTGTCAGTCAACTCCGGCAACATAACAGAATTCCCTGATCTATAGCAATAGGTGTTTGTTTTCACACTTGGGCTTCTGCTGTAAGGTATAGGTTGGGTTCTGCTGTGTCCTGTGTATGGTCTGGGGCCCAGGCTGAACCCATAGCAGCTCCCTGGGGCCTGCTCTTTTCATGGCAGAAGATTGAGCCCAGCACCAGGCAAAGCACATGAACAAATGTTACATCCATTGACAACCTTTCTTGGACAAAGGGAATCATATGGGGAGGCCAAACTGCTGTGGGTAAAAGTAACTTTGCCCATAAGTAGGGGAAAGATTGCCTGATCAGCTATAATCCAAGCTTTCACAGTGGGTACAAAGTATGGTGGGGTTGGAGAATTTAACATTTCTTACTTTCATAATTTTGTAGATTTTTCTTTTTCTTTTGGCATATGTGTGTCATGTATGCGTGTGTATTCATGTGTGTGTACCATACTGATGTGCTTGCCTGTATGTGCATGTACAGAGGTCACAGGAGGATGTTGGGTGTCCTGCTCTAGTCCCTTGAGACAGGGCCTCTTACTGAACCTGGAGCTTGCGTTTGGCTGTTCACCTCCCCATAGCATGCTGGCATTACAGGCACGTGGCCACACACAGCGTTTGCATGGGTGCTGGGGAATCTGAAGTTAGGTCCTCATGCTTGCATAGGAAGAATTCTTACCCTCTGAGCCACTGCCCCTTCCCCTCTTTTCATTCTTGGAGAGTGCAGGCTTTGTCCCTTATTCTTACCTCTAGACTTTATGAAATCCAGACATAGTGATTCACTTCTGCATTTTTGGAATATATCGTATTTGATTCTAGAAAGTTGACAATTACACAGGTATGTATACACAGGTATAACTTAAATTATTAAGGTACTAATTTTTAGAACCTGACAGTGTTCTAATGTTCAATGTAATGGTCCAGGCCTGTGTGGGGGACCCATCATCATGTAATATGCCATGAGGAGTAGGTGTGAAAAGGATTCTTGGATGCAGTGTCATTTTCTTGGATTTTCAGGGGCAGGTTGGAGATGCAGACAGAGCAGTGGATATTGTAGGAATGTGAAGGGCACATACATGGGACTATGATGAGTTCTGACACTTAGCCAGAGAGCAAGAAGGTAACCAGCAATAACAACAACCACCTTAGCATTATGAATTGCTATAACAACTATATTTTATTCTTTATATTC